GGTTTTCAGCAACCGCATGGTTTAGTGCCGGTTGACGGCGCGCATTTACAGACCGACGGAGCGTTATAGTACGCAGCACTTCCACCCAGTTTTGCTGGCTGCCTTTACGAACCGCAAGTTGTCTCAACACAAGAGCCTTTGTCATCCCACGTGTTCCAACTTATGCGTCGCCTCATAACATCCCTGCAGAACCCTAAGGGTCCAAGTACCCAATAATCATATACTTACCCAAAACCTGTACTATAATTACTATCACCCAAATCCCAAGTATCTAATTATTGGGTACATGGACCCTCTAGGGAAGCAACATAGTCCTGCGAAAAAAAGGTGGGAGCAACTGTCAGTCGCATGATGAAGTGGCCTTGAAGGAATTATGTGCAAAGCGCTCTCTTTCCATTCAGGATCTCCTCTCTGTATATGGCTAATAACCCTCAAAAACGAAGCTTTGAACACTGTTCAAAAGCCCAACCTTCATTTGTAACCGTGCCGGGACACAGCCACTCAGCCAGAGCTTTGGCGAGCTCTGTCTTGCCTCAGCAGTTCGAACCCTGCGTACTTTTGCTTGCAGAAGTCCTGCGCAACCTTGAGCCTCAGGAGCCTCAACTCCTGCAAACTAAAATATTCTGGGCACCCTAGGTGGTAGAAGATTTCGTCCACCATCAGTAGCCCCACCATGGAAGTCATGAAAGAACTGTTCGAGGACTGTTACTGGTTTGGGCAATCTTGGCAAGGCCTGAGTGTGGTTCAATCGGGCCAGATGACACATCGATCACACCTGAAAGTTGGACTTTGGATTTACTGGGTTGCTGTTAAGGAACTTAAATTTAGTTACTATATTGGGGAAACCCTATCATTTACAGTATATACCCATTATGGTAACTTAATTTAAGTTCCTTAACACCAACCCAGTCTTTGGATGAAATGGAGCGGGGTGAACAAGAGAGCTTCTGGGATTTGAGGCTCTTCCTTGTGGTAGAAACATAATTCCAGGCATAGCCCTACAAGCACTTATGTCCTAAATCCTCAACCCTGGCTGGAGGTGTCCATTTCATTTCCCACTTGCTTCTGTAGCATTGGCAATATCACACACGCACATGTGTGCATACATCTGGCACCATCTAGAATCTAGAACGCAGCCTTACAACGTCCCGTGTAAAGTACCTAAAGCCACCCACAAATAAACTTGTTAGTCCCGGGCCCTCCAAAGTAAAAAAAAGCTTGGGGGTCCGAATAAGAGCAACAACGAATAGCGCATACGATATATCATACCATACCCAAAAGGCACCACATGGGGGGGTCTCCAGGTAAGTCCTAGCTGCCGCGGTAACTTGCAGCCGAAGAGGCCAACACCCGTAGGGCCAAGGAAGAGGCAGGAGGCAATTGGCCGATTCCTGAGCTTTGGCAGGTTGCGGAACCCTACACGCTACCTTGGAGTTTAGCCGGGGTAGATCCTAAACCCTACATCAGTGGACCTCCACCCTGGATGCCTCAAAGTGGGCAGCTCATTCGGCCGCAAACAAACCTGGACCTTCGTCAACTAGAAATCGCAGACGCAGAAATAATAGTAACAATATTCACAACAACAGCAATCATAGTAACACTACTAATTTGAAAATAGTAATAATCATAATGATAGCAATAAGAGGAACGATACTAGCAAACCAGACCCCTGGGAGGATCTAAAAATTAGATCCCCTATATAGACCCATTATAATCCCTATATAGTCCTTGTATAATTCCCTCTATAGTTCTAGGGGATCTAATTTTTAGATCCTCTTGGGGGTCTGGGAATGCTTATAACGAAAAAAAAGAAAGCCTGAGCTCTGTATCCCTGCATATCCCATACGATACAAGACCCATGTGAACTTTCGTCTAGACTCCTAGCATCCCACTCCCTATATAACATGTATAGAACCCATTATAGTAGCTATATATATCCTACAGGAATCCCCATTTAATCCCATATACCCCTATATAACCCCTACAGAACCCAATTTAATAGTTATATGGTAGTTTCCGAAAATGAGGGGACCCCAATTTAGACCCCAAAATACTATAGCCCGTATTCTAGGCACCTCCAAAATGGTACCCATAATTTTGGGACACCTCCATATCTAGTATAGTAAGGGCAAGCATTAGGGAAACAATTTCGGCCCCGACTCGGATCTGCCAATCCATAACGCGAGCGCTGGATCCTAGGCCAGCAGAAGAATTTACTGGTGGTAGGCAAGGGGAATAAGGGTGTATGTATGTGTATATATCTATATGTATATACATATGTATACATATATATTTATATAAATACACACACACACAGATACATATATATATATGTGTGTCTATTAAGGGTTCTACAGGGAATATGTTCCCCTTTTTCCCATGAGGCGTGGTCACCAACACGCTGCAGCGGTTCTGGGGATGATCTGGTCTGTAACTGCCACTTCCACAACACCACGCCCCTACTTCATGGTGCTTGCTGCCGCAAACAGTATCAAAGGGCTCAGTCTTGAGCACACTTTGCGCGTGTAAGCCCGCCCATGAGCCGAGCGCTTTGAGGTCTAGTCTAGCGGTCTAGTTTACGGGATCGTGGCTGATTCGGGGCTTGTGTCGTCTAGCTGCGCGCTGAAGAGAGAGCTCTAAACGATGTCCCAGAACGCCCCACGGATTGACGAGTAACTAGTAGGACTGAATGCTGAAAAGTATGTTAGCTGGAGGATTTCAGGCGTGAGTTGCGCCTGCCATGCACCAATGAACTAGCTAATCTTTGAACCTTGGTTCTGTAAGCCAATGCAAGATTAGGGGCTGGTCAAAGTCCTACGAAGTCCGGTGACCTTTTTGGGGGATTTCACAAAACTAGGGGTCTGCTTTATAAGGGTCTCTATAAGAAGGACTCTCATAAATTGGGGTCTATGTTTGGGTCCCCCTATTTTGGGAAACTACCATTTTCTAGAAGCACCGGAACCTTGAGGCTCACCATTCTGCCTTCCACTGGGCAGGGATCTCTTCGTGTAAGGGACCTCCACCCAACTCCCTTTTACAGTCACCTCAAACATCTAGGCGTCAGCTTGCGTTCCCTCGGTCCCCGTCCATTCTCTACTTCTCCAAGGTTGAACTCTACATCCAAAAAAAGTGTTCTGCCCTGCTATCTTAAATCAATCACCCCAAAACCTGAAACCCTACTCCAATTTAACCCGGACAAAAAAAGCCTTCAATGCATTTAAGGGGCGCTTCTGCGAGCGCCTTCACCGCATCATCCTGGCCTATGAGACGCTTGTGGAGCTGTTCCTGGCTGCAGGGAGTTTGGGGGTTGGGGCTTTTTTAAGGGTTGAGGGTTTTAGGGTTTGAGTCCTGTCTGCAGGGAGTTTGGGGTTGCTGAATCTGTCCTAGAGACATATTATGCTAGCTGTTTGGTAGGGAGGATAATATTATCAAACAAAAGCGGAAACCTCTTTTCAAGACACATTTAGACTGTAAGAAACATGGGGTTGGGCATTTTGAGTGACCGTAGGTATACGTAGGGCAAGCAACCAGGCAGGATCTCCCTCAGGATATCTGTTGCTTGGCTACAATTGGCTCAGGGTTCAGGATTTCATGCAAAAGAGTTCATGCAAGCGTCGCCCGTTCTACTCCACGAAAACGAACTGAGGCCCGTGTTGGTGTAACCTAAGGGAAGATGCAGAGCCTGCTCATGGGATACAACGCCGCGCTCTTTCACCTATTTACGGTGAACGCGAAATGTACCCTGATGTCTAGAATGAGGGGTTGTGGTTGTGAAAGAATGGGGTTTACCATTGGCCGTCGTACAGTTGCCACTGTTTCCTGTCGCCATAACCGGCGGCAAGAAAGAGGACCTAGAAATCCTACCATGCACAAGGCTCAGCATGGTGTACTAAATGACTGAATGTGCTCCAGGCCTCAAAACGCGAGGTATACTCCACCTGTAACCCTGAGGCACGATAGGACTAGGAAAACCCGTATTCCCTGCTAACCCGAATATATACCCCACATTTTTATAGTAGTTAGTAGTTTCTTTTCCATTATCCCTATATAAATCCCATATATCCTATATAATCCCTATATAATCCCTATATGGCCCCTATAATCCCTGTATATAAGCTCAGTCCTCCAAGTTGAGGAGCCTTTGGCGGTCTCCCATGGACATCTTCTCGACAGGAATGCCTGTCACCACGCTGGAGGGGAGAAGCCCTAAGAATGCATAGGGAATATATAGGGATTATAGGGGGATTATATAGGGATTATACGGTATATATTGGGGTATATTGGAGTTACGTAGGGATTATAGGGGCCATAATATAGGGATTATATAGGGAGAATGGCAAAGAAAATGGAAAGTACTATATCAATATAGGATATATATTGGGATTAGTAACTAGTAGTTCCAACCTTCCTGAGGAGTAGAAGTCACTTCAAACAAGGCTGGACTCATGGTGTGAAGAGTGCTGTTGACCTGGATCGTGCATGGAATCTCACAAGAAGCTCAGATATGTAAGCCGCGGCAATGAACAACGATAGCAAGGAACAGAGGCCTGTCTGTAAGAGACAAGCTACACAAAGAGCAGCAATGAGAGCCACAAGATCACAGAAACAAACTGATTGACTACCATAACATTAGGGTTTAGGGTTTACAGT